CTAATCTATCTATCTATCTATCTATCTATCTATCTATCTATCTATCTATCTATCTATCTATCTATCTATCTATCTATCTATCTATCATCTATCTATCACTATATCTTTCAATGGAAAGTCAATACTTTCACTTACATATTATTTGTTTTTAAAAACATATTGTTTCCTATCATTTGTGAAGGATCCCTGGAATGTAATTACTGTAAATGTATAATTATAATTAATAATTCATATTTTGGCTTTATATCAAAGCCATGTATTTCCAAGATGATGACTACACACAGCATGTTTTGTACCCATCAGATTCCTTGCACATCCTGATATTTTCATTAATTAAGTATAATTAGTTTAACTAAATGGGAGATTACTATATGGGACTATCAAACTTCCACTCCCAATGCCACTGTTATTTTCATTAATGTGTCTGGCCTTTACCAAGTATCAAAGGTATTTTCAGAATCTTTTTTAAAAACAGTGGAGAGTTGCAGGCTATAACTCTCTCAAACTTCCCATGATTCATATCTGCTTAAATTCTTATTTCTGGCAAATTGGTTAAATGGGAGTTTGTTAAAATGTGTTTCCTAAATAAGTTAAATAATAGGATAATTGTAAAATATTAAAAATTTAACCCATCTTAAGTTTTAGATACCCCAATGTTAATGAAATGTTTCAAAGTAGAGCAATTAGAAACTAAAAGATCTCAAACTGATTTCAAAGGAAAACAGTTGTTTTCAGCTAAATAACAACCTGTTGCAGTAAATGATTTACATTCAACTCTTAATTACAAAGCAATGGATATTGAGACAACTCATTAGAGCCATGATGGGGAACCTATGGCACGCATTCCACAGGTGGCATGCGGAGCCATTTGTCAGGGCATGCGAGACTTGCCCTGTCAGCTGGCCAGCACGCATGTGCGCTTTGACCAACTGACTTTAGCCTTTGTTTGAGGCCATTTTTCGCCCTCCGGAAGTTTCCCTGAAGCCTCTGGAGCACGAAAAACCAGCCCTATGGGCAAACCGGAACTTCAGGAACTGACTTCCGGTTTGCTCGTAGGGCCGGTTTTAGCCCTCTGAAGCATTCAGGAGCCCTCAGAAGGCTTCCCTGAAGGCTCCAGAGGGAAAAAAATGACCCTACAAGCAAACCGGAAGACACTTCTGGGTTGCTCGTAGGGCCGGTTTTAGCTCTCTGGAGCCTTCAGGGGCCTTTAGGAGGCTTCCCTGAAGGCTCCGGAAGACAAAAAAACAGCTCTACAGACAAACCGGAAGTCTGTTCCCAAACTTCCGGTTTGCTGGTAGGGCCGGTTTTTCGCGCTCCAGCTCCTGAAGCCTCTGGAGGGCCTCCGGGGAGGCAGGGGAGGCTGTTTTCACCCTCCTTAGGCTCCTATAAAGCCTCTGGAGCCTGGGGAGGGCATAAAAAGCACGCCAAAAATGGGGGGGGGGAGTGCTGGTGGTACATGCATGCGCGCTGTGGTTGTGCACATAGTATGGGTGTGGCACACCCACGCATGAACCCTTGTGCTCCCCCGCTTTTGGGACACGAGCCAAGAAAAGTTTGCCATCACTGAAATAGAGTAATTGTTCGTTTTAAAGATCACACAAGAATTACCATTATGTTTCTGGAGAAAGCCAATGACTTTTTCAAGAACTGTCGTTTTGTCCATTTTTCGTGTGTTTCCAGGAAGCATTGAGCTGAGTTCCTTAATGAGAACATTGAACTGATCACGTCTCTTTTTTTCAGACTTATTACGTGAAGCCCTATGAACAGAATTAAATTGTTAGTAGACATGGAATCACTCATGTTTATTTATTACTGTGATCTTTTCTTAAGAAAATTAATTCTTTACATTAGAATGAAATAAACTAAAAGACAATGGAGTGCTAAAAGAACAAAACTGCTTTGGTTGAAAGTATGCCCTAGTATTGTAAATTCAAATTCCTAAAGCTAACATATGAAGGAAAGAATCCTGCATTTTTCACATACCCATGTTCAATGCAAAAAAGCATAGCAGAAAACAATTATAGATATTCTACTGTTTTTCGTGTACTACCAGGTTTCTTTGCTTCTTGCTGTTTTCTTCTTACAAAAACTATGTTAAATATACAAATACATTTCCCAAAAAACTGGCTACTTACCTCTTTGCCCTGTCTTTCTCATCCTCATCCATCAGATTGTCTGAACAGCGTTTTCTGTTGAAAGAATTACAAATAATTTTAATATGTAATTTCCATTATGCTTATATTTCAAACAAAATAAATGTGCCATAACTTAATTTATTGTGACACTATATTTTAGACAGTAGCTCTAGGAATCATCAATCAGTACTCTTGTTGTCTTGTTTTAGTCACATTGCAGCCATTTCTGAACAATAATTTCCATCCATCCATCCATCCATCCATCCATCCATCCATCCATCCATCCATCCATCCATCCATCCATCCATCCATCCATCCATGGTTTTGGAAGAATGCCCCAGAAATATCTTGATGCATATAGAATGTAACTTTTCCCCAAAGTTCTAATACAAAGGCTACGTGCAAAAAGCATTACAGAAGTGAAAACATGCAGTATGAGACCCTGGGAAGGAATCGGCTCTTGCATATTCAACATAAGATGCAAGTCCCTACAATGTTTTGAAAGTGATTTGCCATTGCTTACAAATCAGAGAGAGTTATTGGGCCTAAATTACACAGTTAGCTTCAAGTTTAAGGTAAGAATAGAACTCATGCTCTTCCATTTTCCATCCAAGTGCCCTCAACCTCTACACCAAACTGGCTCTCCTACACAATTAAGACACCACAAAAAAATTAACATAAGTATACTTGTTTATTGGGATACTTTGTTGTTTTCAGATAGATGCAAACAAGCAAATACATAAGATCTTACAATATCTAATAATTAACAATTTAGTTATTCATAGATTTGGGATTTGTTCTGCTAAAAAGAAAAAGCCAAAGCACTCATTCATAATGCAGCAAATCAGCTTCAAAATTTTCCTGGGCTCTTGCTCACATCCAAACTGACCATGCCATCAGAGATTCACAAAATGATTTCACTATTGCTATCCCAACAATCCAATATATATCTACAGGTATATACAGGTATCCTCGACTTACACTAGTTCATTTAGTAACCGAAGTTGCATCATGACTGAAAAAAGTGATTCATGACTGTTTTTCATACTTAGAACTATTGTAGCATCCCATGGTCATGTGACCAAAATCTGGAGGCTTGGCAACTGACTCATATTTATGACGGTTACAGTATCCTGGGATGATGTTTTGCGACTTTCTAACAAGTATAGTCAATGGGGAAGCCAGATTCACTTAACAACCATGTTATAACTTAACACCTATACGTGATTCACTTAACAGATGTGGCAAAAAGGTCTTAAAATGGGCAAAATTCATTTAACAACTGTCTCACTTAGCAACATGAATTTTGGGTTCAATTGTGGTCATAAGTTGAGGATTACCTGTATTTTCAACAATCCAAACCAAATATAGTTATGATGACATTTCTTTCAATCTAAACCAGCCTATATATCACCTTATTTCTCCATCGTCTATTAGAATAAATTTCAGCCACTGTGTGTTTTAGTAACACATTTGTTTCCCAAGTACTTGGCTTAACAACTTGTTTATCCCAACCCTTGCCATGTAGTAGACTGCAATCCACATGAAAAAAACGTTTCTGTATTACTTCTTACATCCCCAAGAGTTGTTCATGTGACAAAAAATATTACCTAACTAAACAAAATGAAATATTTTGAAATATTTGTGATTGGAATATAATTATTTTGAAATACTAAATGGCAATTATTATTTCTGAATATTAGTTAGTAGTAAATAAAGTGATTTATAATGTACTGCTTTCACAGTCGGTGATACCAATGTATGGCCTGGACAAACAAGCAGATATTCTGATAAAAATCCTGCTTGTTTTTAATCCTTTTGCCAATGGCATTGGAACTCTTTGAAGAAAGAACCAGCCTTTTGATTAAAATCAAGTGTAGTAACCTTCCAAATTTGGGTCTTTGTTGACTGATTCAAATATTAGATCTCTTTAATTTAGGAAAGACTTGCCTATTTTATATTATTTCATTTGTTATCATTTTTTTCTATTTCCAATTTTGTATAGTCAAAAATGCAGCTGGCTGCTTTCCACAAGGCATCTACTTCTGTAACAGTATATTTAATAATACTATATATATTTGTTAGTTGCAGATGTATAAACTCTATATTTTAAAACATTCTCTAATACAAAGGATTAAAATATAAATAATGCTGTAAAATCAGTTTTGTGGAAAATGGAATAGTTTTCTTATCTTCTAATTAAGCTTTTAGCAAAAAGAGAGTAGCAAACATTGTAAACGAATATGAATAAAGATAACCATCTGTACACTTCAAAGTATGCCTATCCCCATCCAGCAATTTCAAACAACCTTCTGAACACAAGAGAAAAAGTAGGTCAGTTGGGCAACACTGTTCTTGTGATGCAATTGTAATGGTTGTTTTGCAGTCAACACTTCCTGAGTTCATTGCAGCAATGAAGACTCTATGAAGATTGTCTTTGATGATATATTTCATTAACATGTGGTACAGGTTTAGCTTTTACACTAACACAAAAACAAAAGTAGCAGCCTGTGAAATGGTTACGAGAAGGGTATAAAGCTTGATGAAAGCTCATTAACCAAATTTTTTGCTCATTATATTCATTTCCAAATAGCTATAGGAATACATACAGAGCCCCTCTGTGATTGAGATGTTTGATAAACAAACATACAAAAAAACAAGCACCTAATTTCACATGTGTTGCAGAACATGGACATTCAAGAACATGCTAGATCCATTCCTCTTTAATTTTAATAAATTACAGGTAGTCTTCAAGTTATGACCAGGGTTGGGACAAGACTTGTCGATCAGCAATGTGGTTATTCAGCTCCTTTTATGACCTTTTTTGCTGCAGTAATTTATTCTTATTTAAGGGAGAGGGGCAGTTTAGAAAAATGAAAAATAAATAAACAAACAATTACATAAATATTTCACACCAAAGAATTTCCAGTGAAAGTGTTTTTCACTAATACTACATCTCTACTACGTCTCTCCTGGCAGACATAGCCAGAGAAATAATGATTTAGAAACACTGACCCCAAAATATTGGGTAACTTAATAAAATATGTCTTTCTAAATATTTGAATTAAATTGTTCTGTCTACCCAGAATCCAGAAATCACAATTTGGTGGCAAGCCACAGTAGTATCAGTAGAGGCAGGATAACTCATGGATAGATGGACAGCAGACAGAGGGGTGGCCTCTCTTATTTTACTTGTAAGTCATCAGTGTTCTTCAGAACAATTGTCCAACAAATATTTGTTTTCACAATTTTAATCCACATTTGCTACATCTTTAAATCATATTCTATCAGAAAATGTTGAATTCAGTTTATCCTTCCAACCAGAAACAAATATATCTCAGTATATTGTCAATAAGCACAACCTCTTTACAACTTCTCATTATTATTTTTAGATATAGCACAGGAGGTAACAAATTAAAAATTATTCTACTTTATTGCATTTGAAATAATTCCAGTATTTTCTCTGGTAAAGTTTCAAAATTACTATTTCAATTTTTTTTCTTAAAGTTCAACTTAAAAGTGATGCTTGATTCTTCATGACATAAATTCAATTTGATAGATAACTATAACATACATGAGTTAAGTTTTAAATTAAGGCATTGACATCATGCAGGATCTTTATGTTCATTTAGTTTTCCAAAAGATAAAATTAGAAAATCTATTGTTTCCATGAGTCTTCATCTATCCATATACTTTTCACATATACAGCAGGTTTAAGATACTCAATTACTAAAAAAGCAATAAATCTAAAACTAAATGATTTTAAATGAAATCCAGAGCTCCCCCCAAAAAAATATTAGAAACAAATAAAAGAAAAGAGATGGAATAAATACAGAAACTACAGCAATAGGGATAGATAAAATATATTACAATATGAGATCAAACGGAAATATTAAAATCAAAGCTGGCCATGAAGAAAATATTATGCAGGTTAATCCACGACAGGATATTTGACAAGACATGCAATGTTAATTTTTCTGATGCATTTTGAATAAAATATGTTTTGAATGTATGCTGAACCACATAAGCTATAGCAATATACAGTAGTTTATCATTTCCAGGCATGATCTAATAGTTCAGAAATACATTCTTCCCACATAGCAATAAGATGGTAGCATCTAGTTGACACTGAAAAGATTAAATAGGGTCAAAACAAATTATGATTTGAATCTGAAATAGTCATAAATCCCAGGGCTATAGATTAGACTGGGAATTTTTTTTTAAAAAAACATCATGATAAAAGGTAATCAACAACCACCTCCAGATTGTAATCAACAAGACTGCTTGATCTATGTGTTTTTCTCTGCAATGAGAACCAATAGACCTTCCTTTATTCTATAGAACTGGGATAGCGAACCTATGGCACGTGTGCCGGAAGTGGAGAGAGCCATCTCTCCAGGCACATGAGCCGTCACCTGTTGCTCTTCAAGGTTCCGGTGTGCTGCCCAGCTGGTCTTCACGTATGTGAGAGCGCCGGAAACCGGAAAAACAACCACACGGAGAGCAAGCACACTCCAGGCAGCTATTCTTCTGGTTTCCGGTGCATGCATGCATACCGGCCAATGGGTCTTCCAGTTTCTGTCATGCATTAGCACATGTAGACCAGCTGACATGCACATGCACACCGGGCGGCCGCTGTTCTGGTTTCTGCATAAGCACTGGCCAGCTAGTCATTGCATGCGCACCAGAAACCAGACATCACGTGGCCAGTGTGCACGCATGCACTAGAAATTGGAAGAGCAGACGCCCCATTTCTGGCATGTGTGCGCTCCCGTTTCGGCACTTGGTGACTAAAAGATTTGCCTACACAGCAATAGAAGATCTGTCCTTAGAAAAGCATTTGAAAAAGTGTTTTAAAACATGTTTCTTAAATTATAGACAGTTTTATGAAGAGATACAGAGATTATGATAAAAATAAAATGTTTAGACAGATTATACATATAGACCAAACTAAACTAAACTACACAGAATTCAGAGACTGAACAGTCTAAAAAAGGAAAGATTTGTTTTTAAACATTTTTATTTTTAAATTGGAAAGGAGCACTTTCTGCACA